AGGCAGCACTACCTCGAGTCATCACACAGCCGGTTGGTTCCAGTGAATGTCCTCACTGTGACAGGGATGTTAGCCAGATGAGGGGGCTTTGCTGGTGACTAACTTGAGTCAGTCAAGGCCATCTGCCTGAGGGGGGCAGAGACGAGAAAGATGGTGAGAGACTAAATTACTGAAGACCACAGCACCCACAGATGAATAGATGAATATCTCACCTCGTAGATTAGATTACACCAAGGTAAAATCAACACAATAGGCTCAATGTATACATGAAAAAACGTCTTATATAATAGGTCAGAAATGCTGCAGGTCCTTAGAAAACCTGAGGCGGACTCTGTGGGCGAGCACAATGCCTGCATGAGTCTGCCTGGGATACTGTGACGTCTCATGTTGCCCACGAAAGAAATCCCCATCCGAGACAAAAACATTTGTCAAGGCCCCCTTCATGGGAAAAGGGGATTCACATGGACTTTGCACATTTTCAAAAGCAGTGACTGACAGTTCAAAAGTATGCAGTGACAGATGTGGTGAAGTCTTTGCTTGGTGACACACAAGGAGATAATGAGTCAAGAGTCAAACAGGCACATTTCGTCATAAAGCCAAGCTGGAAGAATTCATAAACTGTCCTTTTAATCAGCTTCTAACCCACTAACATTGTTTTTGTTTGTTGTGATCTAAAAATGGACATGATTGTTGGGAAAGAAAACAGCAGTGTTATGGAAAACTACAGGGAAGGAGACGTTAGAAAAATGGGAGAAGGAATCCACCTACTGGCCAACCGAGGGAATCATATGACTGTGAAAAAGCAAGTTTCTCAATTGGGGTAATATTTCAAAGACATTCATGACATGGTAATCAGCAAGGAGCTTTAATCATGTTTTGACCTAATTATTATTCAACCTGTATTTTAGCATTCAGCCAGTGGTTCATTAGCACCACACATATTGCCTTTGATATGTTAATAACTTTGGTGATTGGTTTACCATGTGCTCAAAACCCCCATTTAAAAAAAAACAGAGCTGGGTTCTCTTGGTGTTAAGGGAAAACATTTTTTCTCAGTAAAACTGAAAGTAATTACATATTTTGTTCTTGAATCAATGCACAATTGAGATACATTCAAAGATGCAGTATAGCTGTGGGAGAGTCAAAGGACTCTTTCATCCCACTGCCACGATCATTGATGTGTTAGCTCGCTCATCTCCTCCACCCACATAGCTCCGTATGCCTCGATACAGTTCATTTTAACATGCCAACACTACACATCTAAACTTCTGTAGTAAGAGTGAGAATTAAATTGAACCTCATTCGGTATAGATGCTAAATGTAATCAAACAGACACTATGTTAGCAGCAAATGTTAGCTTGTGATGCAGATAAAAAAAACTAAAACCATAATAAAGACACTGTAAGGAAACTCACAAGGATGTTAATATGTAGAGATGAATACATTACAAACCTCCAGTGACCAAGTCAGTGTCAAAATGTAAAAACTGTTGTTGGTCTACATATTGCAGAGATCAAAAGCAACCACAAGGCAACATTTGTTTAAATCAGGGTAAGTTAGTTAGTAAGTTCGGAGCTTTATTGTCTTTGGCTTTACTGTACCACAACTAACTCAAATGACTGATGAGACTATAGAACAGTACAATGCAAATTCCGCAAAGAAATGCGATGATTATGTATTTGATCATTTTAATGAGCTTGGGACAAATGATTGACTGTAGTGATTGGTTGTAGCGGGTGGCAGCCTAAAGCACCTTTCTCAGGAAAACCATTCAAATTGTTAATTTGACAATGAGGTTACACAATGAGATGTAAGGTGAAGCCCTCTCATGCTACAAACTCAGAAGATTTATAGAAATATTTCAACTGAAGCAAAATAAGAATTACTGTGTGCATTAAATCAAATCACTTTATGACAACAAATAATATTAACCGAATAAATACATTTCTTTAAAGGTTGAAATGTAAGATATAATCCAGCATTCATGGTAGTTATTATAAAGCCCTCCAAAAATGTACATTTCATATTTATAATGGTTGTCAAATCACAATGTTTATTCTTTTGTTCGACATCTTGATATAGGTGGTATATCTTAGTTTGATTGATCCCTCTCATTACTAATTGCTGTACTTTACAATGCCAGGATTTTGAGTTTTACTGCCTAATTCCATTGGCTGTCTTTTAAAATCAGTTATTAAATGATGTATTTTTTAAGAGTGACAGCCTCAAAAAACATTTGGTTTAAAGCATTGATTGTGACACAAATAAATGTTTTCTTTCTTTTTTTTCAGTTGAAATGTTTAGCCTGTTCTCAAACAAATTGCTCTCATTGAGGACCTGTGGAAACATGCTGACGGATTTGCTGTAAAGTGTCAAGTGAAAACAAAGGCTTCCTAAGGAATTGGTGGAGGAAAACAAAGGTTGACAATTGCTTTGTAAACCAAACATTATCTTCAATGACTCTTTGCTGTCTTGTCTGTTTGTTCATGCAAAGACTAGCTGTCAGTGAGGTAGCACATATTCTTTCTTCAGTTGTTTTGTTAATTCATGACAAAAACAAAAATACAATGCAAGAATGACATCACAATGATCCATCACTTCTTTATGCTGTGTGATATGTTATACATGTTGGTTAGTAGCAGTGGTGTAAAGTCACTTTTTTTTATATATTAGATTTATTGTTTTTTATATTTTATGTATGCACCATGACATCAAGTCAAATTCCTAGTATGTGCGAACCTACCTGGCAATAAACCTGTTTCTGATTTCGATTCTGATTCTAAGTAAATCTACTGTACATTTTTGAAAGATTTGTACTTTACTTGAGTATTTCAATGTTTTACTATTTGTACTTCTACAGTTCAGAGGTGGAAAGTGTACTTTCACTCCACTACATTTATGTTATACCTTTAGTTACTTTGAGGATTTGGATTCATAATGTAATATTAGATAAGAGAAGATGGACCTTTATTGATCCACGTAGGGAAATTCTGGTAAGACTAGTAAGTCTGAGGGCAGATAACGGTGCAAGAGAATGTTAAAACGTTTCTGATGAAACAGGAAGTATTTCAAAAGTCATTCTAATAATAGCATTTGTCCCCTTATTTTATTGAACAGGGTTTTGTAAGCTTGTAATGGGACTTTGGCTCAGAGCTTTCTGAAATCTAACATTTACATTAGTATAACAAAGAAAAAAAAATCAGAAAATCCTGTATTTTATTCCCACAGAGGGGACATATACAGCGTTACAGCAAAATTGGTATATCAGGTAAAAAAAGGCATGCAATAATAAAAAATAAGCTAACTAGATAAAGAAAACAAATGCACCTATTAGTTATATTAGAATAAAATGAAAAACAAATAAGTAGCAAGTAGACATTCATGGCTAAAAAATTATGAGCAGCAACATCAAAATATCCCAGTGTGTCAACTTGCATATACACAGGTAACACATCAATATGTTTATTTTTTAGGTCATCTTGTTATGTACCTACATTTGAAATACAGGAATGTAAACATGATGGCTAAAAGATAATACCAGTGAGTTTGGTTTCGACCATTTGCCACCATCTCACACACATACCGTTAACCATTCTTACAACCATTTTGCTGTCTCTTAGAAATTGTTTCAACATTACAAGCATTCATTATTTTTATTTAACTTTCAGCACGTTTCTTAACTCTGCTAAAATGCTTTCCCAACCAAAATAACTTTATGAAGATATATAATTTGCAAAAATAATGTTTTTTGTTGTTGTGCGCCCAAGGGAGTATGAACAGCCCTGGTGTGGTTTATTCATATTAAGAATAGCCTTTGAGTTTTTGAATTAAATCTTCATATATTCAAAAATAATTATTGTATTATTTGAGATATTTTACATATTCATTCATCATTGCAAAATCATAGAAACAGTTTAAAAATACCTTGCCGCATACTGCTACACTGTAAAACGAAATGTTTCTGTATATGATTGCCTCTTAAAACAATATCTCAACTTATAGAGAGATGTTAGTGTGCAGTAATTCCCTCATGGACCAGCAGCTATTTAAACCAACTCTGTTAACCTTTGAATTAAGAAAAAAATTCTACAAACTCAAAAGATGTCAAATGTCAGATGCCTCGCCCTCATACCTCTGAACTGGGACACTTCTTAAAATACTCCATACTATACCTCTGAGAAATGTTCCAGAACATTCAGTGTCTACATAACACTCAGGTTCCTCCCCGGCTTCTCACATCCAACTTTTCTTTCACATTCTATGATGCTCAACAACGTGAGAAAACAATATCAGACAAGTGTAAAACTTCGCACAGTTTTAAAAAGCTTTCATTTATGTTTAGATTTAGTCTAAATCCTACTGTAGATGACTGAGAAAAAAAATCTACTGTTGGGTATCTCTCAATAAGGCTCTTCACTTAAACATTCTGTAAATTATGTTTATATGTACTGTATACAACCTGCCACTAAGACTGGCATCCCTTTGTGCCCTGCTCTCATTCTCATCTATCCCATCCATCCTATCATATTATTTATTATTATATCAGGCGTTTTGGGCTCAGCCAATCAGCACCATGGAAAGCTCCCTGCATCCATCTGTCGTCACGGACAACACCCCGGTAGTAGCTTGCATTCATTATTTCTATTTTTTCCAAGAAATCCATTGCATTAAATATTACATTGCATTTATGAAAGGTGTAGCCTATGTACAATTTCATATAAATATATCTGAAATATAATATTTGTGGCAGACTGTTCTCAGTAACGGTTCGTTTGGTCGCTTAGCAACCACATTGTTAACTGCCAACAGTTAAAAGCAGTTCAACTGTAAAACAATACCATTAATAACCATGTTTAACAGTTGACAACTAGGTAGGCTATATACATAAAATGGTTTCAGGATGAATATTATTCGTATTTTTTTAATTATGTATAGCCTAATATCAATAATGCCCTGTTTACGTTACTTTGCACATTTTCTTTGCAAACGCCCTATCTTTTCTTCCCCATCACAGATCATGGATCCATTCATGAAGCGACGTCAAGCCGGCAATGTGTCAACGTAACTGTTAACCCCCCCTCCTCAAAGCAGCTACTGGCCCTTTAAGGGTTATGTAGCCGGGCTAGCCGACATTGGACGAGCCGACCGGGCATCTGCCTGCCTGCGCTGCGCTGCCATCCACATCATGGCCTCAACACCGACACCACCGAGGATGAAGCGACCAGCCAGCGGCCCTTCCCTTACCGGAGCGGAGACGGACGTCAAGCCGAAGCAGAGGCACCGGTAGAGGCGAGCTGCGCCGGGGAGAGCCGCCTCACACATCCCATGCCCCCCCGGTCTCCTCCATGCCTTCGTCTAAAGCCAAGTACAGCTATTCGATAAAGAGGGGTGCGAACCCGGGCGGCGGCAGCGGCAGCAGCGGCATGAACATGACAACGAACCGGGATTATTCCGTTAATCTGTCGGTGCAGCAAGTGCTGAGCCTTTGGGTGCAAGGCACGACGCTGCAGCACTTCACAGGTATGCAGAATGCAAGGTGCCGTTATTGTGTTTTCAGCTGTTCTCAAACATACCCTCACCCTCAGCATGTATTGTAGGCTATAGTTGTGTAGGCGCGTCCATTTTATAGCAGAATAGCCAACGTGTGTAATATTTCACCTCACATGCTTACTGAACAGAAAGGGCAGAGCTCTGGCCATAAACGAGGGAGGCAACTGTAACACCTCAGCCCCACCCAGAGCTAATGAATTCCGGTTGGGCCACAATGAAAAATGCCACTCCTCTGTCCGCGCGCGCAGAAACAATGGGTGACATGAAAGTGATCATAACATGCGGCTAATTAATCTTTGTGCTGCGTGTATGCGCCTTGAATGTGTAGTAAATGAAGTGTCGCCCCCTCCCTCCCATATCCTCCCCCCTCCTCCCTTTGTCTGGCAGTCCGGTAATCAAGGGGCAATTAGAGGCAGCATCCTCAACTCTCTGGCATCTGTCTGGGATGGTCCAGAAACAATTAGGCTGATGTGAAAATCCATGCTTTTACCTATGTGCTTTTGAATGGTAGGACTAGGCAATAGACGCTTTTTACACACCTTTTATTAATATGCCTCAAATATGAGGTTTTACCATCGTGATGGGCTGATAGCTGTAAGGGAGATGACAGCTTTTAATTGACCATAAAAATGATGTGGCAAAGGTGTGGCACCTTGACGTGTGTTAAGGAGCTTCCATGGAAACAATCAGGAGTCAAAACACAGTCATGTTCAACTGAAAAAAAAGTAGGAGCATGAAAAGCAGTGTGTGGGAATTTGATCTCTTCCTCTACAGGCAGGCCCAACTTCCTCAGCAAGCACAATATTGCCGTCCACCATCTGTTTCAAACATTGTAATTATTATTTCTCCGCTAAATGTATAAAGGGTAAAAAAAGGAGAAGAAGTATAAAGGAACGACAAGATTGCTCAGTCACATAAACAGAACATTCTTGAGTCACTCCCTGCAGAGTGAGAGTGGAGCCGGGGCGGACATGTGTTCATGCAGAGTTTGCACATACCCATCTTATGAAATGCAGCTGACATCCTGTGTTGAGAGACACATTAAGCTAGAACAAAAAAGAAAAAAAAGAAGAAGTTAGGTGCTGAGTCAGCAGGAAGTTGCAGAGCATATATAAGTTTGCGGAAGCAGAGCAGCAGCTGCGAGGAGTGGGACTCAGGGTGCACAGAACAACCCCGTCTGTAGACCTATGTTTCACCAGCCAGGTTAAAAAACGACCTCCTGCAACATGAGATAGGGTTGGGGGCAGAGAGTGCGAGCCCTGAACAACAGCAGCAATACACTCCAGAAGCACATTTAAACTTTTGATATACGTCAAACCCCTTTGCCCTTTCTTTCAGGCCCCGGGAGAGTTATCTTTAAACAAATGGATTTCCTGTTTATGATTAGTGTTCTTGCAGAAGTTTCCCTTTAGCAAACCATAAAAGGAACATCATTTGGTTTATGGCTTGCAAACATTACGTACAGTATTCTGACAAGCTTTATGGTTCTATAAGGTCAACTGAAGAGGGTTGGTTCACACAAACGACGAAAACTATGCATGGTTAGATAGCCATACGTACTGTGGTTTTGGTGTCATGTTCCCATGGTTTTAAAATATCACTTTTTAACCATACTTAAACAGATGAATGGAACTGTGTGAATAAAAGTTGGTGGCAACAGACCATTTTTGGATTTTACTTATTTTATTATGAAGTAAATGTTGATTGACCCAAAGGTTGTAGAAGAATTGGCCCTTATGTCGATATAGACCTTGCATTAACTATGCAATACTGTTTACCTCTGTGTACAATCTGCCTGGGAAATGATGGCTCAATTTAAGGCACAAGGGAAGTGCAACAAACAGAAAGAGGATAGCGCTTTGGTTTTCCCATGGTAGCTTATAGGAGCTATTCGCATTTAGCATAGAGTTAAAGGTGGGGTAGATACATTTGAGAAACCGGCTCGAGATACAGTTTTTGTTATATTCCATGGAATACTCTTGACATCCCGATAGCAATGAATATCTTAAGTGATTTGACAAAAAATCCATAAAAAAATGTCATCTGTGGAAGCCGTAGTACTGTAGGGTTAGGGTTTAGCCGGCCCGGCTAAAGTGATTGGATGGCCTACCTGCCTGTCAGCCTTCTATCTGTGCACAAACTTATCTCGTGCCCTCATTGGTCATGTGCGCGTTCGTATGTGTTGGAGGAGGGGCTCTGTAAGGAAGTGGCAGATTTTTTCCGGCTGTGTATTTTCAAATTCTAGTGCACTCGAGCTGGTTTCTCCAAAATTACCTACCCCACCTTTAAGGTCTTTGCAGTTGCTATACCCAGGAATAAGGAAACAAACAAGGATCCAGTTGTGATTGCGATAGCAGCCCAATAATAATGATTGGAAACCCTACGAGGCGAAAAAGTTGCAAAGTTGTCTGGTTTTACTTAAAAAAACAAAAAAAACAATCCAAGGTCCATCCAAGTTTTTTATTATAACTACTTTGAAGAAGATAATACGTCCCAAAACAAATGTTTGTTGTAATGTAGGCTGACCTGTATTGACAGCCTGTACCACTGCCCCCAATTCATTTTGAAAACTAGGATGATAGTAAACACAGGACTGCAAGAGACACACAATCAATACATTTGGCCTAAAAGCCCTTATTGGAAACAGCTTCAAAATAACAATGACACATTGGGCTAAGATTAATAATATAAAGATGTTTGGTAATTCCTGAAGCCTCAGATCTAAGGGAGGTCCAGAACTGAGCGACACTGACTGCAAACCTTTTTTATTGAGCAGGGACTGCTGGATTCACAGCACCGTGTTGGGGACAAAAATATAAATTCAGTTCCAGCTTTATCACTACCAGCCGGCCACACCTCACCTCCCTCAGTCCTTGTGGACCAGGACAAATCAATCATTCTGCCTCCTCATGGATGAACTCAGAAATCCTGCAGCCCTGCTTCATGTTCTGCAGCGACCTGCGTGCTGATGCAGAAACTCAGACCTCTTATCAAGTGACCAAAAAAACATAATGCCCGGCTCTTTTTAATGCCTCAGTGTTGACCGGCGAGCTCTAGAGCTACCGAGCGGACAAAGACCTCGTTCTGTTGTTGCGGATTAGCAGAAGTTAATGCTGTGATGTGACTGTTTTTGTATCTCTGAACATGACACAGCACTTGAGTGTAGCACCCCATACAGTAGGTGCTGTTTCTGAGCTGTGACAACCTGCACTAATGTCCCCTTAGAGCATCTGCTAAACTGGAAAAAATGACCTGCCAAGAGTCATTTCTATCAGCTGGAGTTAATAACCAGCCATGTTTTTTCACCAAAACATTTCGGCCTACAGACTTTCTCCCACTAGTGATCATTTAAACCTCACATTACATCAAGGGTGTAATTCTTCAAGAAGTGCTACAGAAATCCGTTTAAGCATTAATATGTTAGTTTAAAAGTTGAAATTATCGTTGCATCCGGCTGGGAAGGTGACTGTTTCCCAATCATCCACCAAAAAAGGATTTTTACTGACATTTTATTCTTATTATTGCATGTCAGTTTCAGCCCCGCCAGTGGTGTCAAGTAACTAAGTAAATGTACCAAACATTTAACTTGTATTAGTCTGAAATGGACCATTCTGCATAAAAAGTCATTTAACTTTTGGGTCTTTTCTATTTTTATTTTCTATATTTTGATGCCAATACTTTTCTACTTTTACTCGAGTAACACTTTGATTGCAGATCTGGTACTTCTACTTTTACTTCAGTATAAGATATGAGTACTTCTTCCATCTCTGCCCCCCTACAAACTAAAAGTTGCTGTATGAACTATATCTGATTTAAGTTAAAGTAATACTTTTATTTAGCTATACTAATCCATCACAAGTCATGCATTCAGAATTAAGGTGCAATGTTTATATTATTATCAGCAATAACCAAAAATAATTAATTCAGAAAAAGACACATTTCCTACTGGTTTACAAGGTAAATGAAAATTATTATTCAACCAATATTTTGTCTTACGTTTTCCACTTTAAGTCTGGAGCCTCCAACGCCTCATTAATAAAGAGTTATGTTAACAGACTCCCTTAAAGTCAAATATGATTATTATTCTTCCTATTTTTGACAGAGGCCAACTTGCAGTGTTTTTTTGTCTTTCCTTTGTTTATGCAGCGCTTTTAGTAAACCCTGATGATGTTTCGTCAAGTTGGTGAATGTATTCTAAATGCTACGCATGTGTGGTCATGTTGGTGAAGATGTTTCTTCATTTTGGCAGACTTGTGTTTTTATATCTGCATCGTTTCTGAAGCTGCAACGCGTTGCTCTTTTAGGAAATGTATTGGGCCGTTTGAGCGCATTTGCACCTGTGAGCCACCGTAGAAATCTTAATTTTGAAAAGTACCTGGATGCTGTAGCTTTCAGATACATTTGAATAATAAGTACAATCTTTGCGTAGATGTTTAAAAGCAGCATAAAAGTTTAAAAGTAGGTGTTACAGGACTCTAGTGGTGCTGGTCCCGGGACAGGACAGAGGTCTGTGAACACGTCCTCCTATGGCCCCACATGCTCCCGTGTTGAGCATCGTGATCATCCGTTCAGGCTTAAAGAGCATCTTGCAGGTTTTTATTTATTCTACATTTATGCTTAAACTTGCTTGAAAATTACAATTAAAAAAGTGAATGCAGGATTTGATATGTTTTACGAGACATAAGGGCAGGAATTCAGAGGGAAAGGAGCAATTTTGAGCTCTGCTCTTAAAAACGGCTTTTTTTTTAAGGTCATACGTCAAACGCGTCATATTACATCACACAGGGGACACATCTCCGCTCTCTGACCGCGGGTATAGTAGAGTTGCGTTGAGTAGAGCGGTTGTGTTTTAAGGAGCTGGTATTTTCGGGTTTTACATTGTATTTCCACCATTTGTATCATGGTGCAGTAATTAGTGTTTTGTGCAGGTTGCCAAACAGCCAAGTCAGGACATCGAGTCCACAGTAAGA